AAGACCAGCCAAAACCTTCCTCATTTAGGCCACTACTGCCAGTGGGCATTAGTCCTCTTTTGGAAATGGAAGTTGGCTGGGAAAGCAATTACCTCAAAAGGTATAAGACCTCCGGCCCAGATGGGCTGTCCCCATCAGTTTCTTAAAGATAAAGAGTCAAGCATGATTTCGGAGTTGCCTAAACCCCTGGGCTCAATATCGGAGAAGGAACAGGTATCAATTGCATGTTGCGAATCGATCATTGTACCGATTTACAAGAAAGGTGACACATCATCTTGTAGAAACAACAGAGGAATTATTGTGAATGTCATAATGTTAATAATACAGCGATGTCGGTAGAGAATTATATTTGCCGACGTTTCGGTTACCGTGGCTAACTTGTTTCAAAGCAGGTTTTACAGGTTTTACAATCCAAAGCTATATTTTATCTGGCGAACGCGACACCTACGAAGTATCGGCACAAATACAAAAGGCTAGATTGGCATTTGCAAACTTGAGTTATTTGTGGTAGAGTCGCGACATTTGGCTGTCTGTGAAGGGTCGAGTATATGCTGCAGCAGTTATGCCATTCCTTTTCTCCGGTGCAGATACTTGGTCATTAGAGGAACTGAATAGAGATAGATTGTCGGTGTTCGAACGCCACCGTCTACGTTGCATTGCACGGCTGCGGTGGGGAAACCGGATAAGCAATGCTGAGTTTATTAGCAGAGTTTTAAGCTATCGTGGTCGTCCGTTGGAACCAGTGGTCGACCTCCATTGACCATGGTGGTTGGGACAAGTTTTGCGTATATCACCAAATAGGTTCCCAGTGTGCGCGATGTTCGAAGAGGCAGGTAGTGGAGGAGGAAAGATCAAGGACGTTCAAACTAGGATCCGGCATGAGGGTATGAAAACCCCTACCAAGATACTAGGTCACACAGGTCCCGTTATGTTCTCTGTACCGGTATCTCGTGATAATGGTAACCGGTGGTTAAAGACACTGCTCTCAACATTTCATTCTTTCTTATGCTCTTTTATCAAAATGGGCAGTCATAAGACAGCAACAAAAACAGGTGCACGAAAGTGCATTGTTAATGGTTGTAAGTACTGGAACTGAGGCTGCTGAAATGGAGGTGCTCTTCTTGTCGCTCAGTGAATGAAAACACCACATTTTCGAACAAGTACGATATTGGGGAAAGCTATCGAGGCTTTCTTCTTCATTTCGGTGATGTATTTCAAGTTATGATGTGCTGTGGTAAATTCATCTAGTAGTACATAGTTGTCATTCGGCTGAGGGACAATGAATAACGCGTCATTAGCGTATTCTTTGCGGGAAATATTTGTATTTATCGCTACGTCCAACCCCGTTGCTTAACGGTGAAACTGCGTGTGGAATAGGATCGAGGTGGCTTAAAATCGAAAAGTACGATGTCAGTGCACAGTAAAAGAAGGGTTTTCCATAGTGCTGTAGTTGTGATAGAGTAGATGTTTTCATGTATAATAAATTCACTAGCGAGTTTTCAGACGTACAGTAAGATCATGTGCTCTCGTTGGAAACAATTTGTATACTAATGTCCACCGTGCACAGATAAAAAGAAAATGTGAGCTGAAATTTCGCGTAAACATTTCAACCTCACAGGGCACCAGTAGCTGTGCGTATTTACCATATTCAATATCAATAGCTATCTTGCAGTAAAAGATCACCTATCCAACTTAATTCGCTTATATTAGAGCTCATCAGTAGTGCATATCCACCGTCCCTTCCGGGATTTGAACTTCGGACCCATCGCATGGAAAGCGTGTGCGTTACCACTGTGCCAACCAGCTCATACCATGGCCGAACCAAATTGCCGATTCATGTTTGTTCAGGTGTCGTCTTCAGTGTTAGTCAGCTCATTTGGCCCGAGAGCAACGAAGGCAGACAGATGACATACTGTTAACTCCAATCGAAAGCCTCCCACCAAGTCAGGACTTCCATGCAGGTACGGACTGATTCGCCAACGAACCCACAAGGCTGGGTTGATATTTAGCATTTGCACTACTGATGAGCTCTAATAAGAGCGAAACTCGAGTCTACTACTTCCAAGTGTATGGTTGAATCGATGAAATGAGGATTGTGTGTAAAGGTGAAGTCCGAAGGATAGTCAGCTCAAATCATTAAAAAACAATTATCCCACACTACTACTCACAAGTAATTGAGTCAAATGCTAAATATCAATCTCCTAGGCATGTTGACTGTCGATGATATTGTAAACAAAGGCGTAGTACTTTTACCACTACTTCTATCAGTAAAGTGACGGCAAGCGAACATGCATTTAGGTTACCAGTAAGAAAATCGTGACCCGTTGACCAGCATTTAGAGGATTGCATGGTTAGAGTGTAGCAACAAAACCATATGATTATTGATAGATACTACAGTGTGAATGTCTGAAGTTAAACTAAGCGAAGCTTAATGTACATCTTACCAGAGCTGAGGGTTGCCAGTCTGTATAGGTGGTTTCTCAGTTGCTCCTAGTAAGTTTTTCTCAGTAAGACTATGAAAAAGGCAGCAGAACAAATACCGTTAGGAAAATTGTCAGCCTAGGATATTAGGGATGAAACGGGGTAGAACAGTTTGGTCAGGCATCTGGTGTTCACAGGTGTGGGAGACTATCGCTTTTGCCGGTCAGATCCAGGATTCGATCTTTAATGATCTCAATAAATGTGCGCTTGTGTATGGGTATTGTATTGCTCTTGTTTACCCCAATTTCTACTGTGGTATTCATCAAGCCTAAAAGCATGGCACTGAATCATAGGATAAGATGTTCAAGAGGAAGCTCGACAGCGTCCTGCGAACAATGTGGTATGCAGATCTATCATGAATGAGATCTTCGAGTCTGTGGTGATGAGGCTCATACGGGAAATTACCCTCTGCCTCTAATTGAAGAACATTGAACATTGAACATGGAACATCACCTTTTCCTACCGAGCAACTAAATTCGATGAGTATATGAAGGGCTGAACCACAAGGTCACGAGACTCGAATACTCACTTGTGGATAACAGTCAACTGGACCCTGGGATGTGATGCAACAAACCATGTAGATTTCAAATGGGATCAGAACAAACATGTGACTCGAGACAGCAAATCAGCTTATGAATTGAGGTACTGTGTGCCAAAAGACGTGGTGCAATATCCGTTGGGAGTAACCAGCTATGAGGAAAGGTATGTTATCCATCTCTATACGGTAAAATTATGATGGCTAACTTATTTATTTAATATCTCGGATTGGTTTAAACCAAGTCAGTTACCGTGCAATATATCAGTTTCGATTTTATGCAAATAAACGCTGTTTGTTCCAGGGTATGAGAATAGTTGGGAAAGAAAATAAACCGAAAAATTGATTTCACAAAGAACCACAAACCGAAGCCGAGAATTTCGAAAAGCTGGAACAAAAAGATCTTCGGGAAATAAGAAGAAACAAGTTGATAGAAACGGTCGAACATGCTGACGTGGGTATTGAAAGATATTTTATAATGGAGTACTTATAACTTCAATGAATGAATTTTCTTTTCTATTATATTTCGGATGTTTTGTCAGTGATGAGATCATCGTGTGGTAGACAGCTTACTAAATTACGTTCTTTCTCTTGCCAGCTACTAGGAAAAACCCAGGTTTTATTCATTGCTTGCGACAAGGAAAACATAATGATGGTCAAACACTTTCAGTTCAAACGTTTTGTTTAAACCTGGGTATAAAATCCTTTCCTACGTTGTAGGAGCGATCTGAAAGACAATAAAAATAAGAGAATTAACTTCGAGATTGATGTCTCATTCGAATTTTTCACAAATTAATAGACTTTTCCTTACATGATGAAAAAGTAAAACCTTTTTCCTAATCGCAATTTTGTAAAATCACTGATTTATTTGGATTCAGAATTTTCGAGAGTTTGAGTAAACGGGCTTTGTAGGTTTTGAGGAAATATGGTAACTCTAACAGGTAGTTAAATTGAATGACCTTGGGTGATTCGTGATTGTTTTACGGTTGTTCAACAGCAATACTCTGATTTTTCAAGAATGTTTGACAATTTTACTCTCCCTCTCTTAGCTGCGGAAATATAACCCAATAGCTATTTATCTTAGCAACAGAATTTAGAACAGACTGCTTCCAACTGAGTAGTCATCGGTGAAGAAAACCGTGGAACGAATACTGTTTTAGTACAAAGGAGACAACATTGCAAATGCCTACCTATAGAGGAGAAGTTTTCCAACATAAAATAGGTAAATATAAATGTATTGTTCACAGAATTCATAGGTTCTGTAGAGAAAAAGTCCATTTCACTGCTGTTATGAACCAGGAATGAACAGTTAAGGGAAAGTAAAAGGGTAATTATGATACGATTTCAAGGTCAGAGTTCACTTTGGACCAACCGTGAAGAACATGTTTAATGGGATTTTGTTTAGGTAAGGTGTGACATGCATTATATTGCTCAAAGAGCGCTATTTGATAAAAAATAATCAGTGAATGTTTATGACATCCATCGAGCTCTTCCGGGACTATACAATCACAAATCTTCGGGTTGGGAGAGTTACTCCCAACCCGTTATTTCGGTGAACTCATTTTACACTGATTTCTACCGGTTTCGATTAACAACATTTTCTCGCCAGCACTTTGCACATTGTTTGCACTTTTGCTGCAGTTTATTTCCTATGACCTCAATGTCCGTTGTCGGCTTGTCCAGCATGTGGTACACACTCAACATGATAGTGCGCCATCAATTTTTTTATGTGGTTCAGTTGAGCTATCTACGGAATATTTTAGGGTGCTATAGCACAAGGGTTGACTCTTAAGTTTCCGGCATGGTAGAACAGTAAACTGGTAAAATGTTACTTATGAAAATGGTCACCGAGTCCACATCACTCGTGATTTGCACTGCTATCTCATTACGGATCGAATTAAATTTGGAAAAATTTCTGAAGTCATTAGCTGCTCTTTGGAAATGACCGTTTAGGGAACTGCTGTTTTGCTCGCGTTCTGCATAGATGGAAACGAACGTATTCAGGCATCTGCCAGGTTGGATAAATTTTTACGGCATGTACATCGCAGGTCATCTCAGCCTGAATGCTGCTCGGAAATCGATCGATTACCGGAAAGACACAGTCAATCTACGGGCATTACCAGGGCACTGGTATGCCACGAATGCGGACCGACCGGCCATCCGAGCTTGCGAACGGCAAATAGGCAGGCACACTGGCCCGGACATGGGAAGGCAAGCGGACAAACAATTCCTACCAGTCACACCCACGATCCTCCTACTCCTGCTTCTCACTCTGATCACGTGGGTCCGGTTTAGCAGACAAGCTATTTTTAGCCTGGATAATGGACGAATCAGAGAAGGAAACGCTGGAGCAAATCAGCTGATTTATCGGACCGGTCGTTCGGTAATGTATGCTGGGTTCGCTGCTGGCCTAGTTATTATGATCGACTATTTTAATAATGCTGACAGTTCTAAAGGCGGTTGATAATCGTGCCGCAACAGTACACTATAATGATTGTCTATTTCATTAGTAATTAGTTCTGGCATTGATAGCATTGAGCAAAAGTACGTAGAAGCATGCAATTATTGACTCTATCGAAGGAGTTATCCTAACCCGAATTACTTTTCCTGCAAAATTCTAGTTTGTTTAAGTTTTCAACGCTGTTGCTCGAAACAAGCGAGTATGAACGATATTCTGATGATCGAATTCACGAAAGGTTTAAAGTTGTACAGAATGATCCAAACGATAAACCAGCTCCTATATTTGGCATATTTGGCATGATTGGACAAACGACCAAATTTTGTTACAGAAGATCTACGATTACGGAATTCGAAGTTTCATGCTTGGTCGAATTTGAGCACTTCTCCGACAACGGACCATATCACTTCGTGTTTCTGATTCCCTATCTGGTTCTGTCAACGTTACCTACAGTGTTCCACATAGGCCTCTACTCGGTCCCCGATTTCACTTGGTCTATGATTAATTTTGGACCCATATGGTGAGATAATTGAGCTACTGCCGTACTATTGCAGGACACTAGAATGGGTCCGGTCTGCATACCAACAGTAAACATCTGTACACATAAACAATATGGGTTTTAAACTATTTAAATCATGTGCTTACAAGTTAAAAATGGTAGCATAGGTCCATGGTAGGTGAAATTGATGTACAGATGAAAATTATCAACGGTTGTTTTGTCGTTGAAGACCATATCAGATAGGAATTAGTTTAACAGTTCAGTTCAGTTCAGCTTCTACAACCATTAACCATGTACTATCGTGCGCTGGTTTTGGTTGCTCATTTGGATGAACATGGGAAGAAGGACAGGAAAGGTTGAAAGTAGGATCGAAGAGAAAATTTAGGATTCAATTGCACTAATTTTTCACAGAAATCGACAAGATGCTTGAACGCCAATGTTTACGACACCCAGTCATATCACCCATTATCTCTAACCATAGGATATGATCATCCCGAGGTCCACAAACAGGGAGCCTAACGTGACCTATTTGGCCCAGACTCCTGGTTAGGGTTTTCATACCCTCATCCCAGGTCTTAGCCTGACCACCCTTGACTTTCTTCCACCCACTAACTGCCTCTGCGAACATCGCTTGCCGTGGCAACCTATCTGGTGTCATGCATAAAACATGTCTCAACCAACGTAATCTATGGAGGCCGACCACTTGTTCCATTGGGCGACCGCGGATACCCAAAACTCTGCCCCTAACCTCAGCATGGCTCGTCCGGCTGCCCCACCAGATTCGTAAAATGCTGCGTAGACAACGACGTTCGAACATCAACAGTTTATCCTTATCTTGTTTCCTTAATGACCAAGTTTCTGCGCCGTATAGCAGGACTGGCCGAACTACCGCAGCAAACACTCGACCCTTAACAGACAGCCGGATGTCGCGACGGTGCCACAGATGTCTCAAGTTGGTAAATGCCAACCGAGGCTTCTGTATGCGAGCTGACACTTCACCCTTGATGTGTCCACCGGGTGAGATGTAACTGCCCAAGAAACAAAACTTATCCACTTGATCTATTACTTTCCCAGTTAGGACGAGGCTGGGTGCAGGACCAACCCGGTATCAAAGAAACATTTTACACTTTGAAGGGGAAAACGCATATCGAACCTGGTTACACTAGCACTCAAACTATCCAGAAAGCTTGTAACTTATCTGGATCTTCACTTAGTAGCACAATGTCGTCTGCATATTCTAAAACAGACAGCCTGTCACCTGGGAGTAAATCGATACCACTATTCTCGCACGAGAATAGGGCTGTTTCCATATTCAGATCTGTAACAAATGTAACCCTGACAAACACCAATTTTCGTGGTGAACTCAGGTGAAAACGTGCCGTAAGCTCGGACTCGACTTCGATTATTAGTATGAAGGGATTTGTAATATTCGTAGTAGTAGTATTATAAGTAGTAATACATGCGGAACTCGGAACACAAACAACGCAATAGGAATCACAGGACACAAATCAATAATCAGCTATCACGAACTGGAGTACGGAAGTACTGGACCGCAATGGCACGAACTCGCAATATCCCACGTAAACGAGACGCGAGGAGAAAGCCACAAGACTAGCAATTCGTAGTTGGTTTATTGAAATAAATGAAGACGAATAAATACTAAGTACAAAAGAAGGTCATTGGTTATCTAGGCTTCTACCAATCATATTGCGGTATTGCTTGCATAATTCTGCTTCTGTCCGCACTGTTTCGGATTGGCTGGCATGATCCACCAATGGCGTGTAGTCAGAAGCCGTGACGCGTACGCGCGTCATTGACGTTACCTTTCAAATTCGATTGATCGCAGGTGTCCAGAATCTGTAACGAGCCGCCCCAGGGTTGGCGTCATCACGTAAGCCTGTCACACCACAGGATTGTAACTCTGAAATAAACTTCTCGGGCGCACCTTTCAGAGAAAGGCAGGCTTAGAGTTTAGAACGGTCGACTGAATCGAAATCCGCTTTCAGATCGAGCAATACTGAGATGGTGGGTCTACGAAAGGAATGTCGGTGCTCCAGAGTTTGACGAAGAGTGAAGACGTGATCGATACAACCTCGACCAGGTCTAAAGCCAGCCTGGTTCCCACGCGTGCACCCCACGTGCGGAAGATAATCGACGGAGTATGATCCCAGCGAGAAATTTAGAAACGATGTTGATTAAACTAATTCCTCTGTGGTTTTCACAGGAGGATCTATCACCTTTCTTGTAAGTCGGTATGATGACCGATTCACACCATTCAATTGGAACAATGAGCCCAGGAGTTTTGTTAACTCCGAGAATAAGTGTGAGCCTCCATCACTGAAATCCGATGGGGCCGGAGGCTTTATGCTTTTTTAAATAACTTATTTCCCGGGAAAACCCCATTTCAGATGGAGGACTAGCATCAACTGGCAGTATTTTCCCAGTCGAGGTGGACAGTGATAGTTCAGATGTCGATGGGGGCCAGTTGAACTGAGACTTGAAATGTTCAGCCCAACGGTCAAGACGACGGTGCTGATCGTGAATCAGTGTACCATCGGGTTCCTTAATTATCTCACTTACACCTATTTTCCTAGGGCCCATATTCCTAATCAAACGGAAAAGATAGCGATTATTAGCAATAGCCGGAGCCTTCTCCATCTCTTTACAATTTTCTACCCACCACTTCTCGCGGTCATTTATCAAACTCTTGATGAGCTGGCGTTTGAGGGATTTGCGCGCTAGGTTATAGGTGGCATCCGGAGGGAGGGTTCTGCGGGCGTCTAGCTGGACAGCCGAGGTCGACGAGATCCATCGTTTTGTGTTTTGAGCTTGCGGCAGGGTCCGACGTTGTCTTTATCGATATCTGCATAGCTTCTTTGATTTTCTTCCAGTGTTCATCGAGTCCTTCGGCTGATGATTGAGCTGATAGGCGATCGGAGAGCTCCGCTTCGAATGCCGATTTGCGTAAATCGCTGACACTGTGTTGTGGGTATCCGTTGTCGGTGGCTTTTTTTGGTTGTTGGCCAGGCGTAAGGAGAATTTTGCTCGTAGCAAAGCGTGATCCGTGTCCACAGATGTGGACCGGTAAGAACGGCAGTCTTGAATCGACCCTCTCAAGCGGTAACTGATGACGATGTGGTCGATTTGGGTTCAGCGCAGTGAGGATATTGGCCGTTTCCATGTAAGGTGGTGTCGTTCCTTGTTCCAGAATTTCGTGTTTGACAGAAACAATCCGTGGTCAGCGCAGAGTTGAAGTAGGCGATCACCGTTGTCCGTCCGGTTGGCTGGGATTGCATGCGGTCCACCAAGTAACCTCTCTGATTGATCCAGGGATCCAACTTGAGCATTGAAGTCTTCAGTGACTACCACGATGTCCGTTGACCGAACTCTTTGGAGCAGTTGAGAGAAGTCCTTGTAGAGTTCATCCTTGATTTCAGGTGCACTGCAATCGATCGGTGCGTACACAGATATGACAAATAAGCATCGATGCTTTGTTCTGTAGCTGTTGACCCGTGCTGAGCCGTTGAGACGTACAGCGCATAGTCGGCTACTGACTGGAATCTAGTCAAGAAGCGAGCGATCAGCCTTGGTACTTAGCGCAATCCCAATACCAGCAATACAGCGAACGTCGGATACGGAATCGCCTGACACACGAAGCGTGAAGCGTGAGGTCGAGGTTTGGTTAAGAAAATGCTGGGAAATGACTGAAATAGGGTCTTGTATGCATGTTTCGGAGGCACATCTAAATTGAAAGTTTCGAGGGTTCTAGCCAAGGCAGCTTGCTGACCAATCTGATGGAGTGTGCGGATATTGAACGCGGTTAAGTGAAAAGGAGATTTTGGCTTCAAAAATCCTGTAACTTCCGACTGTTTGGCCTTGATAGTAAAACGCTGAGTGATATTCGATGAGTGGCGTAAACAGGAGGCATCTGGGATTATTCGGGATTGAGAGGAGGAACTAGATAGATCGGAAAGAGGTTTTCTAAATGGATACCTGAGACTTTAGGGCACTGTGTACTTTGCGGTTGCCCACATCGACGAAGGGGATTTTCTTTGGGAACCCTAACCGGAGCCTTTGATTTAGGAGTCTGACCCACAAGGTAGTGGGGCGTAAATCCAACGCGGGAGCGTGAACGAACCACCCGTGTGGGAGCTTCTAGAGACCTGTCACGCAAGGCCTTTGAATTTCAATTAAGTTTGTTGTTCGCTGGTGCGTTAATTATCGGTCCGCCTCTCGGGATCGTCCCTTAGCCTCATGCACCCAATGAGACAAGCGGAACGTGGACGAGGCAGCATCTTATTGGCAGGGGCTGCCTATTTTGGGTGGGCGGTATCTGTCCAATGAAGTGCGAAGACCTCTCCCACCGTCGAGAGGAAGCCCCAGGTATACCGCTCCTACGTCCATCTAGCGGGGTATTTTGACCGGTAAACTGTCCCTCACCGTGTTTATTTGCTGGAGTGGCCTCTCCAGGAGTGGGTGTGGATAGATGGAGGAGGTCAGTAAGTGC